CTCGTGATGGATCAAAGCTGGTGCAAAAACAAGATCGCCACGTTGTAAAGCTTACTTTACTCTGTCGGACAGTCCTTTGCAACACATACTTGAAAATGGGGAGTGTGACTTTTGCGGCTGAAATTCAAAACGGACAGAACTTTTACAAATTGATATAACCCTTAAACATTCATCATTGGTTTTCACAAACATAGCTCCATAAAAACATTTTGTACTTCGCTTCAGTTTATGCAGTCGGTTGTTTCCCCTTTTATCTTCATTGCAAGCTCCAGAGACCCGATGTCAAAGTACTCTTTCACTTGCTTGCCTTCAACGATATACTTTGATGGAATTCCTATGCTGATCTTCTTCTTGCAAAGCTGAAAGAATGTTACTTGAGAGAACCTTACCTTTAACGGCCACGGTTACGTGGGCGAAGATACATTGAATAGCTGCAGAGTATGAAATCATAATATTACGAATTTTTACCCCTTTGTAGTTGCATTTATGGTAAATATTCAGTTGTGGATCAATCTGCGACACTTCCTTGGCGCTGCCTGACATCTTGAAAAAGCCCGATGCGTTCGTTTTGTTCTGTGCCATCTTTCGATCTCTAACTGAATGTCCAGCTTATGTAAGTATTCACAATCTTATTGCTTTAGCCTCACAGATTTCCTTTTCGTACAGCTTCAGTTTGACTCCAGGAGCAGGTTTGCCATTACAATTCAGGGTACCCATTATTCCGACAGACTGCATTCTACCAATGAATCCGAAAAGCAGGCAAGAGCATGATGGAATAAGGAACAGTAATATAAAAGCACGCATCCTGAAATCGCACAACTGATAAGAATAATGGAGAATTAAGTGTTGGATTCCTGTATTGATTTCACATTCGATTTCTCAAGTGGCTTCTGAATGATTTTCTCACAATTCGCCATATGCATTAATAAAATAGCGGTGGCGAATTGTATGTAAATATTGAATTTTCTATAAATCTGGCCCAATAAAAACTTTTCAAGAAAGCTAGCGAACTATTCACTAAGCCCGGCTACCTTATCCTTTTATCCGAAAACCTTTGTCACGCTTTTCCTTTTCTTCCTCTCCATCAATACTACTTGCTGTAGAAAAAAACTTTTTTGCGTTTGTAAAAATTAAAATAGAGAACGTAGCGACTTTGGGTCCCAGAAAATCCACTAAAAATGTAAGAACCCACTCATTCCGAGTAGTTCTTAGAAAATACAAATTGAAATCGCTACGTTCCTTATTTTAGCTTCCCCAAGTACAAAATTTTTTCTTATACCAGGTAGTTAGAACGCGAAATTTCTTGGCTGCTTTAATAGTGTGGCAAGCGCATCAACATACATCTGGCAGCTGTTGCTGACATCTTGCTATTGCGCTGCTTCACCCACACCATATAAAAGTACTCATCTCACTGGCAGCATCGCCGATCTGAGTGCCTCGAATCCGCCTCAACTGGGGTCTGCACCGCATTTGCGATTCTGTTCTATGAGTATTCATGCACGCCGAATATGGAGAGTGTTGAAGCACCTCCTAGACTTAACTC